TGTCTTTCTGGCTGGCATGTGATTCTTTTACACTGTTTTCAGGTCCGTTTGCTCTGTGGAAACAGTGGCATTATGTGCGGAGAGGAGAACTATCTGGAAGATCAACTTATCTTTCAGAATAAAAGCATTTCATTTCTATTAGAAGTATTATCCTGCTGGCTAGATGGGTTTCACTCCCAAGGTCAGGTCTACAGGGAAATAACACTATACTTGCCTGTTCTATCCTAAATATATTTCTATTTCCTCTTACCAAGATCTGTTTGGTATATATTTATTTAACAAACTCTTGTAAGGGCTACAAATCATCAAGTGTGAAATAAATGTGTCAGTTGAAAAGATGTTTTTACTCTGAAAAATACTGACAGGATGTTTTCAGTTTGTTAATGCCCTCACCTACTAAACTGATGAAAACATGCCCTGCAGGTTACATTTGTCAGATAGCTTAAAGGAATGCCAAAGCACACAAGGAAAGAAACTGACCAATAGAAAAATATATTTATTGTGCCAAAACCCCAGGTAAGTTCAAACATCATTTCATGATTTATACCTGTTTGTAGTGTAGTTCAGTTACCTCATAGAATATTTTTACTTTAAAAAAAAGAACCTTTGCTTCATTTTCACAAATTCCTGCTGTCTTATTGTGCATGTTACCTTAAAAAACCTATTGAATTTAAAGTTTTATGTTGGTCCTTGTTTTGAACTGCAGATTTTTATGTTTTGCTGCAGTGGCAGATTAAATACACAGAAATGTTACATTTTAGTTCACAGATTTAAAATAAATTAGATTTTAGACATCTAACAGGCTTATACTAAAAAGAAATCTTGTGAATGAAGGGAAATGAATACTTTTATCCATAAAAGTAAACTACTTTAAAAGGGCTAGAAAGAAAAACTGACTTGGCCTTTGTTTTTAATGAATCTAAATCTTCAGTTGCCCCGTTTGTGGTTACAGTACACAGAGTGCTAGGTAACAGTGAATGGAATGTAGTTAAACAACAACAGGAGATGTGTTGTAGATTTGAAGTACTCCAGACAGGCAGGTTTTTGTTTTTGTTCAAAAACCCGAAAAGGATCAACAAATGACTATGAATTTCTATTACGTGAACACAAGTTCAGCATTACAGATATGAAGAGAATGTACACGTGCCAAGTGTATGTGTAAGATAGTTGTCTAGTTTTCTGTGCACTGATAGAACAAATAAGTCTAGAGAGTTTTATGGTGTTAAAACTACAGAGAGTCCCACATATATGGTGTTGCCTGATATTTCAACATGTCATTATTATTTTCTAAAGTTCTTAAAATTTTAGAAGGCAGAGTTCGCAGAAGGGATTTCAGATCAAACAAAAAAAAAAAATATCGACCTTGCAGAAAGTGTTAGAGGTGCTCTTTAACATATTTTGATTTTCTTATCGCTTTATGTTGGTTTGAATTTGATAGGGATACTACAGCTACAAAAAAAAGTTAAAATGTTTTAAAATGGCCAAAAATATAAAAATTACAGGTGCATTTAAAAAAGCAACAAAAAAAGACCAAAACAAACATGTTGTAAAGGCTCACCTTTCAGCACATTCACTTCACCAGATGCACCTTGTTTCTTTTCCTCACCTTTGATTGGGTGTGGTGCTTGGCCTTAATTGCACTCACCTGTCACTCGTTATATAAGGACTGCACTCACCTACAGCTCACTCTTTCCTCATTCCCACATGGGGCGGCAGCTGAGAGATAGCAGTCCATGTGTGTCTTTCCTTTACCCATTATTCAATAAAACGACAAAACCTGCAAATGATTGATGACTGCTTATTCTCATCGGAATCGGATGAGCCCATGATGATGACTACTTAAACCCTGAGCCTTCCTTCCTCCAAAACAAAACATATGTTTCTTTTCTACTACCTCATATTCTCTCATCGTTCCAGGTGCAGTGATGGACAGACTAACCAGCATACCTTCGTGAAAGTAAACTTATCTACGCATTATTAGATATTATTCATTATTATTTTATGGCACCAGAAGTGTCTGTCAGACATTTTAGCAGCTCTCACACACTTTAATTTTATTATATTTGAGATTTGATTACTGTAAATAATGTGGTTTCCAAAACGAGGCTGC